TTAAAGTTGTGCCTAGTAGGTTTATAAACTTTTTATRAAGTGTCTAATAAATTCTTGAACTCTCAATTTTGTGTCATAAAGTCCTTAAAGTTTAAAACTGCTTATTAGGTCTTTGAACTTTCAATTTTTTTTTTGTCTAATAGATTCATGCCATATTTGACATTTATAAGATTCATGTACCTAACAAAATTGAATTTTGTGTTTTATGAGACCATGACCTTTCAATTTTATATCTAATAGGGTTGTGAATTTTTAAAAAGTTCGAATATGACAGAGACCAATTAGACATGAATTGAACGTTTGTGGATTTATTAAATAATTTTTAAATTTTAGGATCCTATTAAACACAAAATAAAAAATTCAAAGACTTGTTATATACCTTTTAAAGTTAAAAAGTCTCTTAAACTAGATACCATATCATAAAAGTTCAGGAACTAAATTTAATTTATAATTTTAACCAAAAAGATTTTGTCSAAATTTAAGACATTAGTAAACCCTATTTAAATTTTGTAAGTTTGAGTTATAGCTTCTTATATAATCGTAAGTTTCTCTAAAACATCTCTAAAGAAAAAACACTACTAATTTAAGTGAAATATTGATAAAGATGGTTTATTATACCCGAATCTGTCCTTCGTGAGAGCATGTGCAAGGTGGGTGAGACCAAACTTTTAAGAGCGAGAGGTATACGAGAGAAGAGCTGCACAAAGAAAACACTCTGATGTTCAATTTAGTAAAAATCTAACCTATAGCTCCCAATATGAAGAATCATAATTGCATACTTGCATATGAAAATAATCTTTATTTATAGGTGAAGAGTGGTGGGTTGCACAAATTACCTTGACGTCAACCTTTTTTTAGGCCCAATTGGTCTCTCGAGCTATATGGGTTTACTTTGGTCGAGCTATAGCTTGACCACTACACTTTTCCAAGGTAAAGAAAGGTCACGGACAGTGATATTTCCTTGTCGTGCCACACAATAGGTCATATTTCACCAAATATCACAAGTTGTAAACCTTGTTCGTTTTCCTTATAATTCTCTAAAATAGTAACACAAAAACTAGTTTACTATTTTTTGGATACTTTTTATTTTTATTTTTTATTTTGATAATGTAATAAAAGTAATATATATTCCTACGTGCGTTAACGTTTGTATAATGGTACAAAAATAACACATATTGGTGCAATTTTCTAAAATAATTGTAACAAATTTGTGGTGGGTAGAAAGATCTTTCCATTGGATTTTAAGAAATAAATAATTTTAATGGTGATTTAGAAATATGTTCAATTTTAGTTGGTGTTTAATTTTTCTACTAGTATTTCTATTACCGACCCCAAATTAAATTATATAGTACTTCGACCCCAAATTAAATTATATAGTACTTCAAAATAATTTTAGTGTACAGGGTTCGTTTGGTAACGCTCTTATTTCTTGTTTACAATTTTCTTAAAAAATCTAAGCATTTTGCAATTAATTTTGTTTTTTGTTTCCCTATTTTTTTGGAACACTCTCACAATTGTGAAATTTTGGAAACAATCAAAAACAGATATCTTTTTTTGTTGTAATTGGATTCTTTCCATTTTTTTTGTTCCTATTCTTCTTTCTACTAGAAAGGGGACTTACTAAATAAGGGATTACGTTTCCGATAGTCATTTATTTAATGGGTGGATAGGCGCATATTCTGGATCGGAATCGTGGGGAGTACTGCCTCATCATTTCTACAAACTTAAAGCCCCAATTCATATTCTTTTTATATTATGCATTTTGCAAAAATGTCCTTCGCTCTCTTTTTGATAATTTTAAAAATCTCCATTACYAATCCTTTGTATATTTTGGTGTTTCTAACCATCCACTCATTTTTGCTCAATCGGTCGTGTTAAGGTAAGTTTTTTCTTTTCTCATTGTTACAGAACATAAATGAAAAGATTGTTTTATCATACTTGAATTCATGGATGTTGGAACCATACAATTCACTTTTCTTCATTAAAAATGAATAAACAGAAACAAGAAATATGAATGTTACCAAACAGACCTAACTAGTCTTATAAAATTTTGAATTTTGCTAAATTTGTAGAATTAAAAAAAATACGTCGCTATAAAAGTAATATTTTTATATAAATATTATAAAAGTCCCATTATCTTTGACAACCATATATATGCTATAAAATTCTATAATTGTCCTGTCATAATGATTAGTCAAGATGCATTGTCAATTACTGCTGAAGTATGTTTGACATGGGCGACTTTTTCTATTTATTAACCAAAATTAATTAAAGTCGGTATGAGAGGTATTGAGGTTTTATTGAATTTAATTAAAATATAATTTGAACCTAATTAAGCAAGTTGAGTGGTTTAAAATATTTGTTTTAAATTTTAAACAAATATTAGTGAAAATTATATTTTAAAGGTATTATTTTTTAAACAAGTATTATAAAGATTTATTCTTCGGTTTTCTCACGTTAAATTAAAATTAGTTTTTGGATGTCATGTTTTATTTATCAAAGATATAATAATTCAAGATTTAAATTGCTTAGGTATATATTACAAACCTCTAAGTCGGTGAATTCAACTAGTTATATATTGTACTAGAAAAAAAAAAGTTAAGAAAAACAGTCTTTATTAGAAAATTATAAAGTATTCTTTGTCTGTTTTTTTCTTTTTTGTTAAAAAATATGTAGAGGTAAAGCTTAGAATTTTCAACAATTTTTTCTTACACCAAAACTTTCAACATTTTGATCGAGAATATATGTTTTAATTAATTGAATTATGTCTGGATTGACACTTATTAAGTATTTGAGACATATGTATATGGAAAATATTTATCATAGATAAGATACATGTTTTTAATTAATTAATTAATTTTGGATAAATAGTCTTACCATTCAAGTTAATTTTAAGAAAATACCTGAAATTGAATTAATTTGATTCATACACATCTAATAAACATAAAAACCATGTGGACATTGTTAAATCTCTATTTAATGATCGAACTTTTCGAGTATTGTTTTTTTTTTCAAAATTTAAATCTTTATTTGGTTTTTTTAAACAACAAATGTCACTTTTTGTTAAATGGTTAATTAATGGTAATCAATTATAGTTAATAAATTGAGTATTTTACTTTATGAACTTATAGGAATTACGGTGTTTTGTATTAAATTAAAATTTTATGTAAGGATCATTCAATTAGTTAAGGTCAAAAGTCCAATTCTTCATCTGAACTAAAAAAAATTAAAATTTTATATTAATTGATCATGTTTATAGATCAAATAGAAATAGTGGATATATGTATTCTTTTATTTTTACAATAATACTCTACTTACTCTAACAACTCACATCCTCAATTTAAAAACTAATATTTATGTCATGTTTGTTTCTTATTTTATTTTTAAAAATTATGTTTGAGTTCTTAAAAAAAAATTAATGTTTTTTTATCTGGCTTTAAAATACATTTAAATTATTAGCCAAATTTAAAAAATTAAAACAAGTTTTGAATTTTTTTTATTTTAAAAATTTAGCTTGCTTTTAAAAATTTAAAAAAAAAAAGTAAAAACCCAAATTGTTATGAACGGGAAAATCCCTATTTTCTAGGATTCGAATTCCTCGTATGTTATGAACTCATAACCTCTTAATTGAGGATAGGAATTAAGAAAATCATAACCTCTTAATTGAGGATAGGAATTAAGAAAAGAAGGCTGGTTCGTTCAAGTCTAGCAATTATATATATATACATATAAATAATTGTGGTTACTTGCGATAAAAAAATAATAATAAATTAATTAAGTGAAATACAGATGATATTTTTTTGGCATAATGGGCTTCCACTCTATAAGCCCAAATTGTTGGCTAATTTCGTGTAGGTTATTCAATATTATTTTTACTATTATATTTCTTTGCCAGAAATAGATGAATGGAGGAGAAATTTTCATTTTTACTCCCAAGCTTGACAAAGAGAATCATTTTTGTTAAATTTCATCCCATTGGACCTTAAAATTTGATAAGTATTGTAATTGTTACTTTATGTTAAATTTTGGATAATTCTAGATTTAAGAAGAGTAATGTAAAAATCTTTAAAAAAAATTCATTAATTTTAATGAAAATAAAGTTCTGCACAAATTTTTTTAATCATGGAATAACTTCATCCAAACTCACAAATTTCAACATTAAAAAAAAAAATCTAATATTATTTTTATCTTAAAATCTATCAATTTTGTGCCAAAAGTGCACTCTTTCCATTTGTAAAGGTTGCAACATTTATTATTTAATAAAATTTAAGTTTGGGGTAAAAATGGATGACTTTTATCAAATTTAGTAGTAAAAATTGAATTCTTCTCCCTAAATGAAAAAATGCGATGTAAAAATTTCCCAATTCAACTTTTTAATATTATCCCACACCTTTGTACTTGTCAAACTCAAAAAATAAAAATAAAAATTAAAAAGTTAATATTAAGTTATTAATTTACTGATAACATGTCCCGTTGAACCCAACTATCAAAGTATTATTAACATTATTTCTAACTAATTTGACACAAGAAGAAAATAGACAATCAGATAAATAAAATAGTATGTGTAACATATTTTATTTTTTAATCTAACATATCAATCGAATTGATTTAATTGTCTACTTCTTTTTGTGATTTATTTACTAAGTGACATCAAATCAGTTAATATTTGTCAGTTCAAATATAGCTCAATAAATAAGATACGATGGGTCTAGAAACTAATAGTTCGATTATCATCCCTACCATTGTTGATCTAAAAAAACTACTAGATAAATAGGTTAAGTTATCAGTTTAATTAACATAATTACTATTATAAATTACCAACTTAAGATAATATGTTCAAATTCCCTAAATATTAAATAATAATAATAATAATAATAATAATAATAATAATAATAATAATAATAATAACTTCAAACAAGTAACAAATATGAGCCTAACTAAATTATATCTGCTCTTCTTAAATTTGGAGGTCGAAATTTTCTCGCCCCACATTTATTGAACCAAAAAACGGACAAGAAAATAAATTTACAATTTAAAATGAAGAGAATGAAATATTCTAGAAAGAAATCAGAGAATTAAATAATATCATATACAAGGAAGCCAGTATATGGCTTGGCCAACGTCCATTAATTTTTCAGAAACAAACGAGTGCACAGCAATGAGAGAGAGAGAGACACGTCATCTTCTTCCTGTCGATCGTTTTCTGCCACGACTCCGGCGGCCGGCCGACGTGACGACAAAGCAGAAGCCAGTTGGATCAGTTGTCGTCATCGGAAGTCGACGCTCTGAGCCGCAGTTTCGGTTGCAGTTGCAGCCTCAAAACACCTGCACAACATTTGTTCCTCCACTCAATTTCAAATCCATACAATCCAGAAACATCCAAATCCTGAAAATACCTGGAAGACTTATGAAACTGACGATTGCCAGATCAATTTCTTGTAATTTTCTGAATCAAAATGTGCAGATCGAATATTCTTTTAGGGCTTTTTTTCCTCTCTCCGTCTTTGATCGGTTTGTTTTTGGATTCTGTAGGGAATTTACAGAGATGGAAGCGGAAGACAGATTGTTGAATTGGGAAAAACAGAGCGAAAAAAGGGCAGTAGTTCTTGAATTGATGAATGGTTCAAAAGAACGAACCAATTGGTACAACAATCTCACACAAACTCAAACCCTTTCCAAAGACTCCAAAAACACAAACACAAACAAAAACAGTGAAATCTTCTTTTTTGCATTATTCACATAGCTCTTTTATTAACTCCTTCGAAAATCAGATAAACAAAAAAAAAAAAAGACTCGTTACTCCTTTGCTGATGCTCTCCTTCGTTTCTTTCCTGCTTTCTGCTCACTCATCCACAGCCAGTGGCACAGATTCAGCCTGCAACATTTCCATATGAATCCATCAATGACAATGTAACTGCAAATACTACATATTTGAGCTTAAAGATTTTGTCAAATGATGTATATCTACTTACCAACTTACGGTACTTGAGAGCATAGAACATTTCCAGATAACGGCGGCTCTCGAGGCGGTCGAGGTTGGAGACGTGCTTCCAGAATCCGTAAACTCCGGTCAGTGTCAGCAGTCTCTCCGAGTAGATTTGCCATGTGTACCTGTACATACAGTTGATGAACATTGTAAGGATTCGTGCGATCGAGTAAGCAAAGATCGATCTGAGTTTTCGTTAAACAGTATAGAGTGATTACTTCTCATAGATACGCTGGAGGCCTCCTTTGGAGATTTTGTCCCAATGTGCTGGGTCTTTTTTGCTCTTCTCGAAGAATTCGACGAGGATTTCAGCAGCTCGGTCACCGTGGTATGGATCAATGTGGTAGCCAGATTTACCGTCGACGATGATCTCGGCAGGGCCTCCATTGCAAGTAGCAAATGTAGGCAATCCACAGGTCATAGCCTCCACAACAGTCAAACCAAAAGCTTCATACACGGCAGGCTGCACGAAAGCTCCCTTTGTGTCCGCAATGCATCGGTAGAGTTCGCCATTTCGTACTCGGTTCATCTGTGAAGAAATCCATCTAAATTGGCCATTGAGGTTGTAGGTCTCTATTAGGGCATACATCTTTTCCATCTCAGCCTTCTCTTCATTGTCCTTAGACTCCTTCCTCCTGTCTCCCGCCACAACCACCAGGTTAACCAACTCCCTCAGGCGCTTGTTCTTGCCGTACCACTCGACGAGTCCAGTTATGTTCTTCACACGGTCCAATCTCGCCATTGTGAATATGATTGGCTTGGACCGATCTTTCAAAACGCACAAGTGTTCCTTGTTCTCAACTTGACTGTAAAGAAGCTCTTCGATTTCGGGGTGGAAGGAAGTAAGCCTCTTCTCCGTCTCTGTGTAGGGGAAGTAGATGCTCATGTCAGCTCCAGGAGAGACAATGTTGAACTTGGGATCAAACACATCGATTCCGTGGACCACCCGATAGAGCCCCGGAAGAGTGAAAGCAGTGTGACTCTCATATTGTCCAACTGTATCCTTGCTGAGATCCAAAAGAACCCATGTATAAGATAATGAAAATACACACATCTACATACAATCCGACCACGGGCGTCAAACAACATCTTACCTGCCAGCAATCTCTTGGAAGGTACTCGTGATAATGAAATCGGTATGGTTCATGGCGATAAGATCAGCTGTGAATTGGCATGAGAAGTGATACTTGTCCTCAAATCTCTTCCAATAAATATCTGAATCAGGGTACTTGGTTTTCTCCAAGGCGTGGGCAATAGTACACTGCAGAAGAAGCAGGAAACAAATTAACAAGACTATGGGGCCTTAACCAACAATAAAACGAAACAAAAGAAGAATTTATAGATATAATCACAAACCTGTGTAACGCCTAGTTTATGTGCCAGCAATGAGGCAACGATATTTCCATCGCTGTAGTTTCCGATTATCAGATCAGGCTTTCCCTGCAACTCTTTGGTAAGTTCCTGTGCAACATCCTGACAAAACGAAAAACCATTCGATTCAGTATACAATCAATGAAGCAGTCACAAGGGATATCAAATACCATGGCAATGGGATCACAATCACCTCGGTGTAAGTCTCTAGGTAAGGCCAGACTTCGAATCTAGAGATCCACTTTCGGATGATTCCTTTCTCGTTTCTGAATGGAACTCGAAGAATGTGGGCATGCTCCGTGCCGAATACTTTTTCGAGACGTTGGGTGCAGGTGGTTCCTACTGCATCTGGGAGGAGTCTACTGATCTGATATCAACAAAACAAAAACAGATAGAAATTCAGATGAAGAGCAGGATATTTAACATGGATGTCTAAATTTATTCAATCAAGTAGATCTCGACTTTACAATGAGAATACGAGGAGTTATGTCCAATCCTTGATGCTTGATACGTTGAAGCATTTCATGCTCCAAAGCACGAACTTGGTCCAAGATGTAAACGACCTTCATCAAAGAAATGAACAAACATGTCAATTTAGAACAAAAAATGAACCTACAACCTTTTTCGTCGGTCTGATCAAAACCAACCTGGCCACCAGTGTCGGGGTAGCCCAAGACATTATCTTGCGCAAAGTAACCGTGGGGCGAAAGGATGACGACATTAAAGACCATGGGTATTCTCCCAAGGAACTTCTCAAGGGTGCAAGGATCAGGGGCCTCAAGAAGATCCAAAAGAAGTTGGATCATTTCGAGGACGCGCTCGGCAGTGTCGCCCCACCCTCTCTCCAGGCCAGTCTCCTGGAACTTGTGTGCAAACTCAGAGTAAGGCGTTTCGGGTGCAAGTGTAACAAGATACTCCTCTGCCTTCCTCAGAACATGTTGGAAGGCATTCAGGGTCTGAATTCTATCATTCAACATCATCGTCTGCAATTAAAAAACCCACCCCAGTAAATGCCAGAACATGTTTAAGGCTGAATCAAGGGAGAGAGAGAGAGAGAGAGAGAGAGAGAGAGAGAGAAATGTGAAGTGAATTACCTTTCCCTTGTAGCAGTGAACTCTGAGGAAGTCCAACAATGGCTGCATACTCTCCTTATCATGGAAGAGCTTCGCAGAGAGGTGTCGGTTGAGGAACTCAACACCATTACCGATCGACTTGGAAAGAGTTGGGTGAGGGAAGGAAGCAGTAAACGGCTCAAAATCAAGCTCAAGAACGAAGTTGCCGTTCACACTGGCATAACAATGGCCAAAAATTGTTTAAGATATCAGATCCCTACAGGCTTTATTGAAACTTTAAGTATCAGAAACATCTAAAAAAACTTCCAAAAACTTTACCTTCCATCCACAAGTTCTTCTTTGAAGTGCAAATATTCAGCAACTTGGAGCTCTTCAACAACCAGAGCGTGGACATTAACTCTAATGTATTCCCACACACCTGGCCTTGGACGAACAGCAAGAGCAACCCATGGAGGCAAAACTATGGATTCCTGCCACCATGAAAATAGCTTCAAAAGTGAGACATATGACACAGATGAAAGATCACAGAGCTACAGAAGAAGAAATAAAAAGTGAATATAGTCTCAAAAGAGATCGTATTTCTCACCTGGGTGGATCTCAGGACTTCGCCAAATGCCCCATCAGCAAGTTTCTTTCGGTTCTCTTCAGGAATTGTTTCAAACTCAGCGATCAGTTGATGATGTTGAAGAATGCCTTTTCCCTTGGCCTCAATCCTACACAAAAATCAAAGTTATTTGGTGGTCAACTGTCTTGTCTTTCTAGTTTTAGCTGCCATTTTTTTAACACTTGCCAGACCATGATCCAGCAAACGAAAGTGAAAACAGAGGATCTAAATGAAATACCTTGAGAGTAGGGCCAGGATTTCATTTCGTTGAGTGATGAGAGTTTCATCCAAGCGCTCGCGGAGGCTGTGAACACGGGTGAGGGCTCGTTCGGCCATGGCTACCATTCTTGGAAGATGAACAGAAGTCTCAGAAAAACCTTACTTTGCTTCAGCTGCAAATAAACATTAAAATATGAGAACAATCTATTTTATCCACATCAATCTTAAACAGCAAATGCTATTGGGTTGATTACTCGATAGTCAAAACATCTACAGCTAAAGTTCGGTTTGGATTAAAAATTCCTAAACCCACCCACAGCAGTACCCCTACCACCAAACAATTTGACAAAATCATAAATTTTGGGTCTTGATTTAGCAGTGGTTTCTGGCAAACTTTGAAGAAAGCAAATGGAGAAGAGAGAGTCTTAAAGACAGAAATGGGAAAAAAATTAAGAAGGGGCGACCATGAAGCTCAGACACTGTTTGGAAAAGTTGCATGTTCTGTTTATACTTCAATTTTTTTTTTCTTTTTCTTTTTCTGATTTGGTAGAAAAGGGAAGACCAGCCCATGGTTTAGCATTTGGGATTAGAAAGAAAAAAGGTACAAAATGGACAAATCATTCCAAGTGAGATTGAAACAACAATTGAGAATGAAAAGTAATCCCTGTGCATGAAAGGAAGTGGGAGGATTTGTTTACAAGACAAAAAACAGTTGAAAATTGAAGAGATTGTCAAATGCTACCAAATGAAAAACAAAAAGGGTATGTTAAACAGAACAACAACACCAAGATCATTCAACAACAAGAAGAAAAAAGAGAACAAGATAGAACAGAGCAGAACTACGAATGATAGAAAACTGCAGCAGGAAACCAAGGAGAAGAAGGAGAAGGAGAGGAAGATCAAGAGAAACACACACAGACACAGAGTGCTTACAAGTGAAAGACAACATAGGAATATACAAGGAGAGTTAGAGGAAGTAGAAATTTATAGCCAGGGGCCAGGGGGGCACTTGTCAAAAGCTCTTTTCAACATTCATCGTTTTAACTTCTTACCCCCAGAAGCTACAGTAATTATCACCAAAACCAACATCAAAGGGTAAAACGTTGTAACATCATCTACTTTTGACCATCGATTAGACAAAGAAACAATCAAAAGAAATCAAAACTGGGATCCTCTCAGTCTCGAATCATTTCCCTTCTCGGATGGGATCCAAGCGATTGGAAAATGAGAAGGAGGATCCATGGAAGAAAGAAACAATGTGGGTAGACGAATGAGAAGGAAAATAGTGAGAGGGGAAGAACAACGGACCTTAAGAAATGGAAATAGAAATGGAAATGGTAAATGGGAAATGGGAATGGATGAGAAGAGAGGAAAGAGAGAAGGGTTTATATACCGAATGGATGAAGAAGTTGCTACCCAGCAGCTCGGCCACCATGGCTGCGATGGGTGCTTGAATTTCCGTGAAAATGCCATTATTACTGCCAATTCCATTACCATACCTTCTTTTTTCCTGTGGTTTTCTTTTCTTGTTCCTGCCGCAAAACCGCTTAATCGTCTGCTCTTCTCTACATTCTTTATTCTCCCTCTTCCCCACTGGGCCCATTTCCCCTTTTCGATCCCTTTTTTGCTTTTTTTAATCACTCCCTTCCCTTCTTCCGTTCTTCGTTTCTCTCTCCCTCTGCTCCATTTTCTTTTCTTTTCTCTTTCTACTTGATCTGGAAAATAAAATTGAGCGAAAAATAATTAAAATGGAAGATTATGCAATGGTGGGTTTTTGGAAATTTTAGAAATTTAATTATTAAACGTATTTCAAGATCTGATCTTAGTTTTGATTTTGGGTTGGCTGAGTTTCATTCATGTTGAAATCTTGGGCTCGGTGGGGGCTTTTGGTGAAACTGGGTGGTTTTTGGCGCGAGTTTCGTCAAGTCCCAAACCTGTTAGCGCCCGCCACGTTGCTACCTAAAACCGCTTTCTTCTCTTAGTTTCACTTTTCCTTTAGTCAATTACGTAATTATGCGTCGCTGCGTTGAATATTAATATTGATACTTTTCTACCTATCTAAAAATTGTGAAAGGTTTGTTTGTTAATTTATATATTTTTTACGATTTTTTATTTTATAATTTTTCAAAAATATTCGACATCGACATTTCTATGAAATTGAGACGTTGACATTTTCATTGATATCAATATTTAAAATTTTAGTTAGGATAAAAAAAAATTTGGTTCGTATCTTTTTTTTTTTCTGGTTACATTTTCATCATTTTAAAAGGGATCATTTTCATCCATTCAATTTTATTTTAATCTTTTTTTAATCATGTTTTTAATATAGTGATCATTTTCATCCATTCAATTTTATTTTAATCCTGTTTTTTTAATCATGTTTTCAATATGACATTGTATTCTCTAAGTTTTTTAGGACATAATCACAAATTTGTATTGAAATATTCCTGTTGTGTCAAATTTTCTTTTGTTAGAATTTTGTAAATAAATGTAAAATTCTTTTAAAAAGTATATTGACCAAAATGATGCTTTGAAAGTAGAACTTAAATTAACAAAATTTGAAAATACAAACTAAAGTCAAAACTTCCCATTTAAACTTTTATTTTTATTATCAATTACAAATTAAGCTTGCCACTGGAAGAAATTAAGAGAAAATATTTTATTTTTTAATTTATTATTTAGTTGGATGATTGAATTTTGATGTCGTATGTTTTATTTTATCCCATTGGAGTAATTATTTTAGTCATCACAATTATCACATCACCTAATATCCTATTGAGTCGATGTATGTAGTCTCATTTCGTACCCACACCAATATATTAATATACACCTACATAATATTATTTATGTAGTTAAATAATTAGTAGATAAATAAGACATTTATTATTATCTCAAAAGTGGTTTTTGTTTTTATAGAGTACTCGAATATATATGTTGAAAATATAATTTAAATAAACCTTTTAAAAATGAAATGAATTTGAAAGTTCGTGAACCAAAAGTCATATGTGAACCTATGCTAAATTATCATGGTAGTCTACACATTTTTAGATGTGTATCTAATAAGTGTCTAAACAATAAAAAGTATATAATAAATTTTAAATTTTGTGTCTAATAAATCTATTAATTTTAAAATAAATATTGACGATTAAATTGATAATTAATGTATTATTAGTTACAAATTTGAAAATCTAAAAAAAAAAATCTTTTAAACGCAAACATAAATTTTTATGGACTAAAATGTTTTGGTAAACCTTAAAACTACATTAAATCTAAAAAGAAAAATAAATTTTTACCGCAGTGAAAAGTTTAAAACTTGAAAAAGGTTGTCAGACGCTACCGCACCGTCCGTCCGCCAGTCACGGTACGGCGGCGACGGGAATCGTGTCGGCTGTCGGGAACATATATCAAAACTCCTCTGGGTTTCCGGTTGATGACGTGGCGTCCAACATCGTAGAAAACTAAATGCATTTTATTTTTGGATCATGCTCAGCTTCTCCGGGCCCCACCTATAAATTTTAATTTATTATTCTTCTTTTTGGGTTTTTGGAAATAGGCCCCATTCTATAAAATTATTGCGATTTTGACTCGAATTTTTGCGGATATTCAGATTTATCTAATCCACTATTCTTGTTCGTAATTAATTGTGTCACCCGTTAGGATTCTTTCTTTAAATAGATAATGACGTAATTAACCTCAAAAGTCTACAGAGCAGAGAACAACAAATTTATAATTATAGTAACCTATGGTTGTTGATGCGTGAATCTCGACCAATCTGGTTCTTATCTCTTATACGCAGCAAACTTGATGATCTTGAACCAAACACCTGCAAAACCGAATAAACCAAGATCTAAATCGGTGTGACTTCTATCACACAGGCTCCGATCCCTAAGTCAGAATAATCGGAGAAAGAGTATAGATGTCGAGTTTTCAGAGCATACCTCTAAGGTTCGATCCCCCTCCCTCTTATATCAGTCCTATAGGAATTCTAGTCAAATTTCAATCTTTAGACCCGTTACAGGCGTAACTGCGAAACGATCGTAATTGCAAAACGGGGATACTGTGAAACGGTCGGGTGGGTCGTTATAGTTCTCAATCGGAGGTCGAGAACTGCTCGGCGCCTGCACTGCTTGGCGCCGTGGCGTTAGATCAGTGTCGGGATGCTGGGTCAGTTGAGGTTGATGATCTCGGGCACATTTCTTCTTTAACGATCCGATCTCTCGCCTCGTTTGGACCGTTTTGTTCCCTATAACAATGGCCCCCACTCTCAAAACAGAAGACGAAAGACTGTGCCAAGATTTTTGTTTTGAGAGTATCTGTCGCTTGTTGCTACCACGAGATCATTTCATAACATAATTCATATTGGTTAATTATGCCAAGGTTTCTAATCCACAGAACGTTTACCATTGGCCTTTGTATCCAATTTTGGATTTAAGATGCTTGGTTATTGATACTGTTTTTGTACCCTGAGTTTGTCGACATTATTTCATGAATTGAAAGTTTTTCTAATATTCGTTGGTCAGAATCAAGTCTCCCGAGCCTGTTTTTACTCCCTTGGCCTGAGATCTAACTTTAGCAGGGCTAGTATCAATATTGTCGGATTTCCAACTCGTTTGGCTCGTTTTTTATCCAGTACATCCCTGCTTTAGTTTTGACCATGTTGAGCTGTTATCGGCCTTTTGCCTGTTTTGCTTGCTTCTAGGTCTGTCCCAATCCTGAGTTTCTTGACTGGTTGTAGATATTTACACACAATGATGCCCCCTACTTTAAAAATTTATTAGAGAACAAACATAAAAACTCAAGTACTTATGCCAAATGTCGAAGACTCTTAGTAAGAAAATCGTCTTGTCGGAGAGTCAGTTACAATAAAATAACTAAGATAAAAGGGGGCTCAGAGCGTAAAGTAAATGTGTCGAACTATTGGTAGTATCTTTTGAGGTGCTGAGCATTCCATGGGTGTAATAAGGCTTTCCCGTGTTGGTCTTCCAGGGCGTAGGTGCCTATTCAAACTACTTTAGTGACTTTGTATGGACCTTCCCATGTTGGTCCGAATGCCCCACTAGTTAAATCTTTGGTATTTGGCATGATCTTTCTTAAAACTAGATCACCTTTTTTAAAGTCGTGTTTCTTAACCTTCGAATTGTAGTATCGAGCTATCTGATTCTTGTACTCAGCCGTTCATAGTCGTGCTGTTTCTCAATGTTCCTCTAACAGGTCGAGGTTGAGCTACAAGGATTCATTGTTGTCAAGTAGACTGAACTGCTCCACCCTTGGGGAAGGGAGACGAATCTCCACCGGCACTACTGCCTCGGAGCCAAATGATACTGAGAATGGTGTCTCTCCTGTCGATGTACTGGGTGTTGTTCTATAAGCCCATAATGCGTTGGGTAGTTCTTCTGCCCATAATCCTTTGTTTTTTCTAATCTGGTTCTTGATAACTCTCCAAAAGAAAGTTATTTTAGTAAATAATTGGGTTAATTCGTGCATTAATGTGAGGATCTTTATCTAAGAAGCATGCTAAAGTGAGGAATTGAGCAGAAAAGTTAATTATCATATGTTAAATCCTCAAGTTGCTGAATTTATGCAAATTCTTGCTTGTTTCCCTTATTTTTGGTTTATTTGTGCAGAATTTGGAGAAGTTGCTGAGGAGCAGTAGAATGCCAGAATTAGATGAGAAATTTCGGAGCATTGTTGTGTCAGAGCATGTCAATGCTGGAGCATCACTTGCCTCAGAAATTCCTGGGCAGCGCAGAAACACGTGGGATTTTAACTTATGTCCGTACAATGCGCGTTTTACTGAGTTTTGCCCTAATTTTCGAGGGTGCTATAAAAGCAACAAGATAAGGTTGTCTCACCATCAATCTCCAAGGGGGGAATCGATCCCAAGAGAGAACATACTCCAAAAATGGTGCTGAAGTCGAGGATATCAAACCCATTTCGTAGAAGAGCTAATGACAGGGAAGAGTTGTTGCTGCCATTGCGTGTTGGTGGTCTCCATCTGCATTTTTCTCTCTTTCTCTAGAATCAGTTGTATCTTTCCTTTACCCATTTTGTTTTCCCTTTTCCCCATGAACTAAACTCCATTTTGGGGAGATTTACATGTTGTAACTAACTTGATACTGAACCTCTAGATGCTACATCTATTTTTAAATAAAGTTGTTTGTATTTCTTCAATCTTGCGTGACATTGTTGGTCGTTATGTCGTGTTTGCTAGCTTCTGTATTGACCCGGGAGGGCTCATGGGTGCTGACTTGCTTTATTTGTGATTAACACTTTTCTATAGCTTTAGGGATACTCAGGAATGAGGTCCCCTCATCATGCTTATAGCTTGTGTTTATTGCTTGAGTATTTAGCAGTGGAAGTTGTACTTACTCATGTTTGGGGTGTCTCGGAAGGGAACCGAGTCGAGTTGGGCACTAATAGATGTTAGTGAGCTAGAGGATAGGTTGATAACTGGTGAAAGTATGCTGAATCTCCCCCTATTTCCCCATATCTGTTAACCTCTCATTCGCATTCTGTGCTAAAGCATTTCTTTGCCTCAGCATTTGTTATTACAAT